AGGGGGGGGGGGGGGGGGGGGCAGGGAGTTGTGCTACCCTACCACATAAGACAGAAGGGAAAAGAGAAGATCTAGCTGCAGTGGGAGCTCCTTAGTGCAGGTGAGGTAGGAAATGCCCACCCTGATTCCAGTCCCTACCATATTTCCTATTAGAGACAACATGCACTGGGGACTGTGGTAGGGTAGCAGGTAGCTTTGCTGACTGCAGCATCCCAGGGTAGTAAATCCAGGTGTAGACCCAGAAACAGAGTTAATATCCAGTTCCTAACAGAGCTCTCACAGCTTGCTCTACAGCTCAGGCACCAGCTTCTAACAGCATCAGAGTTTCTAGAAGTATAAGAGTGGCCTTCAAGGGATGCATTGCAACCATCTACTTTCATATATTATTGCCCCTGCTGTCAGCTTCAGCCTCACTACCAGGTCCTGTGGTTTGGCATGGGTGCACGAACAGAGAAGGGATGAAACAACTTGTCCATCTCTGCTGGGAATGTGGCAATTGCAGCCACCATGTATGTGCATGCATGCACACACGTGTGCACACATACCTCCTTACTAGGGAACTCTCTCCTCCTCCAGGAAAACCACCACCTGCCACTCTTCTTGGGCATCTTCTCCTTCATCAGCTGATCAACGGTGCTCTGTGAAAGTGAGAGCACATTAGAGAGGAGTCCTGCTGCATGGCAAATCATTTCTGAGCCCACAGGAATCCCATGTACAGTGAATGTTCTCACAACACTTTCACCTACAGGGCTCAGCACAGCGATGGGAAGGTTCCTGGGCTGATGGGGAAAAACAACTTGAAGCCATTGCTGAAGTTCAGCTTCTGAAAGGCTTTTCCCCAACCCTCCCTCCTCACCACACAGTCCACAGTCCTGAGAAACTTCATGGCACAGAAATGGGGACACTTAGCAAGGGCCAGAGCACACTCCAAGTTCTAACACAGCTCCAGGCACCTGGCTCAGCCCTATCCCTAGACAAACATAGCTCTCTTCAACAGGTCAGTTTGGCAAGAAAGAGCCTCCCTTACCAAAATTTCATTCTTTAGGCGCACACTGTGGCATATTAGTATGTTAAGCAGGCATGTACCTACCTAAATTCAGCTCTGGCCTAGGTGAAAGGAAAGGATAATCAATGCACTGCTACAGGGTGGAGCCGGAAGGAGACTGGAAAACAGGACTTTTGGCCCCTGCCCCTAATTCTTTCCCAGACTTATTGCAAGAAGCCATTTGAGGCCAAAGCATACCAAGTAGTTTTGCCATTTACCTTGGGAATGTTCTTCTGGAATGCCTGTAAAGAGAGGATCATAGGAGCAGCCACTGCCCAATTATAATACCTGGAAGAAGCAAGAGGTAGATGAAGGTCACTATCCACAGAAAGCTAATGCCCCATTGGACTGATGGGGATGGACCAGGAGGCTAGAGCTTTGCAGGGCCTGAATCTGGCAGAACAAAGGATGCAACTCCTTGACAAGGAAGTCTGGTTACATGTTAAGCCTGTGCCCAAGTACTGGCTTGGTCACAGGTCACTCGGCCAAATCCTGCATCAAAGCCAAGCAGAAAAGTAGGGGGTTTAGACTGAACATGGGCAGTGACAGACAGAAAGAAAATGAAAGACAGGGATAAAAAAAAAAAAAAAAATCAATCAATTGATCACTCAATCCTGGCCAGTCATAGCACATGACCCATGACAAGCCACTAGGATATCTTGGCTGAGCTGCAAGAAGAATATTTACCCATGGAAGGAGCCATTTCCCATCTGGGAGAGTGAAGTTCTGAGCATGGCTCACAAAGCAGCCCAGAGGGTTCAAGCCTAACTCAGTCACCGCAGTAGAAGTAGCATCTGTCTTGGAGACTCAGACAGTAGTCTTATTGAGAGTGGTGCCTTATATATTCCACTAGATTTGGAAGATGACAAACCAGAACCAGGCTACTCACTTCTTGTGGATCAGTATCACCAGGTTGGGGTCATCGAGGACTCCTGGGTTCTTAGCAAACTCCTGGTATGAGATGATGTGCTCCATGAACTTCTCTAACAGAAACAGGAAAAGGAGATGAAATACTAGCACACCAGCTCCTGATCATTCCCTAAGTGGAACCTGGGCTTGTATCCTTCACTGCTTCACACATACAGCAATTTAAAGGCTGCCGAGACAGAAGTTCCAATGGCCAGGTGGCCTTAGACTCTCCAGGGACAGTGCCATGTTTCTATATATCTGTTCACTTTTCTGCTTTGTTTACCAACCCTTAGTTAGTTCCTCTCCTCCTCTGCCCCTCTCTGCTCTGTATCACATCATCTCTGGCACCCTGCCCCCACTCCAGCATTTCTACCTCTTAAGGAGCTATTTTTCATCCCCTCACAGCAAACTCTACCCAACTGATAACGGCATCCCTGTTATTGCACTGTGCAAGTTCTATAGTATAGACTCTTCTCTCCCTCGCACCTACCATGGGAGATCTCCCTGTTGTCCCCAAGACCTCCACACAGAGATAGTGCAACAGGGGACATCCCTTCATAGGTGGAGTCTGACAAGTTCTCTGTGCCGCTGTCAATCACAGTTCCAGCTGGCAGCTGGGTGCTGCAGAGGCTTCCGGGATCGGTCAAGGGCTTTGGGCTCAGTTCCATATCACTATTAACAACAGAAGGAGCAGTGACAATACTGTGCGAAAGTCAGATCTATGTCAGCGGGGCCAGAGTTAACAGCTAACATCCATCCCTCCCCTTACAGGGGACATTTTTAAGTATGAACAGTATGATGGACATGCAACTCATACAAATAGGCAATGGAAGTATGTGGTGTCAAACTACAAATGGAGGCATCTTCTACAAACTCAGCTTAACCAGGTGATCTCAATGGCTCCATTCCAGAGCATGAGATGAGTAGGATCTCCTGCTGAGTGAAATCCTAAGCAACTCACTTAGGAATAAATTTGGGCCTAATATGTATGGCTTCTGCTTGCAGGTGCCTGTGGGATCCATTATTTTAAGGACAGGGTAGGCAAATTGGAGCAATGTCCATTGCATGAATGCTGGACTGGGTGCATAGTGGAGGTATCTATGCAGTTTCCTGGAGCCTACTCTCTCTCTGGCATAAAGCATAAGCTAAACTGCATTGAGAAATCATGATGCTGTTAAAGTCTTCATTTAGCATGGCTCAGGAGTCCTATTAGAACAGTCTTCAGTCCCAGCAATAGCACAGACTAAAATTATGTCAATACTGTAGTGGGACCTCAGTGGTTTTTATTTAGGTCTGTTACATCTAACAGGTCATTTGGCATTCATTTGTGTTGAGAGCAAGATCCATCTTTTCTTACTGCAAGGAACTGAACAATCCCTCCAGGGTTAAAAAGCTAACAGAACACTGGTAAGAGAGTAGCCTAATAAACTCAATACCTTTTAGGGAAATAAAGTGCCACCTGGTCTTCATCCAGGTTGGTGAGATCGTCCAGGTAGATGTCACTGGGACCCAGATGATGACTTCTTTTCGTGGAGCCTCAACAGACAAACAATACGAAGAGATACAATTCGGCCAGCATTTCTCCAGCCCACCAGAATCTTACAAAAGAGAAAATCAATAGCATCTCTCCCCATGAAGTCTTCTAAAAATTGAAAGCCAAAGAGGGTGTCTCAGTTGCTCTGACAGAATTTTCCAGCAATCTTGGCAGCAGCAACACTGCCAATGCAGGAGAACATAGAAATGGGACCAGTTATAAAAAGACTGATACGTCTGTCTACTTTCATTCTCCGAGCTAAGAAGAATGCAAGCCAAACGCTTCTCCAGGTACCTCACAAGAGGCTGTCTGCAATTAGCTTAAGTCTGTGTGAGGTATTTGGATTGATATTTCTTTCTGCCTTGCTAGGCAGGGGTAAGTCCAAGAAACTCCACTCAAACAAGTGGATCTTCCCTTGGGTTTTTTCCTGGTATAAAAGTAAGCTTTGGCTCAGTGTTACCACCTGTTCCCAAGTGCTCAGGAGTCACCTAGAGATGGCTCTGCTGGAAAACATAGGTCACAGATACACAGCTCTATGAGAAGCTCCAAGTACCTTATTGGGTCACACCAATGGGCCAATGACATTCCCTGCTTTACAGGGACAAGCAGCATCTGTAACAATGTAAGTCCCTGCTTACCCTGCCTCCTTTGGTTTTCCAGTTTGGTTTCCAGGTTGTCACCAGGCTGGGTGCTCTCCAATTTTGTTGGCCTCATGGCAGGTGCCTCTTGAACACCAGAAGGATCCAGCTGCAGGACTTGCTCAGTTGTGGCCTCCAGGGTCTCTTCTCCTCCTTCTTCTGCAGCCCCTGCCTCTGGCTGCTGCTTTGCTCCCTGTTCCTCTGCCAGGGTGGGGGAGGCCTCCAGAGAACTCTCTGCTGTGTCTGCAGACTCGGTCACAGGGTGGAAGTCCTTCAGCATAGGGAGGCCATTTCCATTTTGGAAGACAGGTGTTGGCCTAATTACAGGTGTGGTACAGGAACCGGGCATGCCCTGAGAATCCACTGTGACCAAGTCACCTTCCAAACCCGCCGTGATGGCTAGGAAATGGGTTGTCTCACCCACTGGGATGGGTGTCGTCGTGGCAACAGTCGCTGTTGTAGTGACAAATGCTGTGGACTTCACTGGTTCAACTCGCTCTGATTTACTCACCTTCAGGAAGTGGGGAAAGTAAAACAAGTGTCAGCCCACTACATTCTTCTCCAAATGGGATCAAGCGTAGGCTCCTTCCCCTCCCAAATAGGTTTCGAAGCCCTAGCTGGAACAGTGCAGCCATTAGTCAGGACACATACATGAATGATGGGGTGAACCAAGCGTCCCAGCCTGGACAAATGTCTTCTACACCCTGCTCTCTAGGATCCCCACAGTTTAGAGGAAAGAGTATGTGATGTAACCTAAAATACTACAGCTTTCCTCTAAAAAGCCATCCTGGGATCAGCACCTTTGCACCAGTATAACTACATCCACACTAGGGCATTTTACCCCAAGCTCCACTGGTTTCACAAAGAGTTAGTGCAGCACAGAAGCTGGACACAGACAAGACATTATTTGGTTACTGGACTACAGATGCATATAATATGTACATGTATGCACAACCGGAGCAGGAAGAGATGTTGCCACTGGTTATCACTAAAGAACTAACTCAAGCACACATGACACAGAAAAAAAGCAATATTCAAAGAGAACACTGAAAGTAAAAAAAAATGTTGAAGAGTCAGAAAGTGACAGAATTAAGATGACCCATGCACATACCCAATTCTCTCTCTCCCTGCCAATGAACCTGATAAGCCCAAGTGCAAATGCTTTCCAGGCCCATCTAGTCAGCTGCTTTAATCTTGTAAAGCAAGATTTGTAGAGACAGCCACAGTGTGCGCTCAGAAAGCAGGCAGCATTAATGTAGTGCTATTTTGCATGATCAGATCTAGATTCCAGACAATGGCCACATCATCCAGAAAACCAGTACCTACTTGTACATGGAGTAGGTTACACAGAAAATCTACATTATGGGCCTGCTGCTGCCAGAGCTTTGCCAGCAGAGCTATGGTGGTAGAGATATGATGCATAATATAGTAGCAAAAAAGGGTTTTTTTGGCCTGCTTAGCTGCACCACCTTCCTCAGTGATATAGGTTCTGCTGGCATTTTCTGTCAATGTATCTGTGTCCACATAGGGAGGCTCCTGACACAGCTATGTCAGCCAACATACTCCTAGAAGGCATATAGCTATTCCAGCAAAACTATGTAGGATAGATCAATCCAGAGACTCACTCCAGCAGGTCTCAGCCTCATATAAAAGCAGAGAACAAGACCAGTAGGTCAGAGGCACTAAAGACAAGAAAAGGAAAACTAAGATGCGCTGAACCATGGATTTAAAGCAGGCCACGCAGAACGCAGAGTTCCTCTTGAACAAAGGCAGCAACAACCATAGTTCATTTTCACTTTTTGAGAAAATGAAAGGGCAGCCCAATGAAAGGGCCTGTGCTCAAATTGGCCTTGCACATGCCGCCGCCGACTCGATCTAACCATTCCCTGCAGCATCCGATAGCTGCTGCCTCCTTTTTTGTACTTCCCCATGGCTATCGCTTCTCTCCCCTCACTTGTACGGTTATCCCCAGCGCAATGTGGGCGCTGCTTGGCCAGGACGGTCTTACCATGTTAGTTTTAATAAAAGTACTACTTTTATTACTAAACTTTTATTACTACTTAAAGTATCAGGACAATCATATTTTCTTCCAAAGTCAGGCATTGGCAGCCCACAGGCATGAGATTCAAATGTGTGGAAGCTCAGTTGTGTCTTTCTGAAACGATCCTCAGGGATTATTTGTGCACTCACCTGAGGGAGCCTCCCCCAGGTCCACTGCATGTGAGACTCAGCTCCAAGAGGGGACGGCTCAGTAGGTTTAATCTCCAGTTCAGAGTCACTTTTAGGAGAAGCTGGATGGCTTGGGGAGAGGCTAGAGAGAAGAAAAGGAAATGACAGACCCTTTCAATTTCCACAGCACCACAGCTCCCCTCCTCTTTACCATCCTCAGGTCAAGACCCTGAGGTCTCAAATGAGCTCAGGGCACCATTGTACTGAATTCTATATTACATGTGAAAAAAGACCATTCCCTCACCAGGGGACTTTTAATTTAAAAATGCAAAACAGACAAAGACTGTGCGCCTGCTTCCCTTCACAGAAGTGAAGGGCCTTACCTATGGGTACACAGCATGTCAAAGCAGAGAAATTTGTTCCTTGATTCTAGCCCAGTGCCACTGGACCACACTACTCCCAAGACCCTTCTCCACACCTTTCTGTCCACCCAGATTTCTCCTTGCAACTTCACAGCTCTGGCTCCAAGGTCATAGCCTGAGCAGGGCTTCTAGCTTTCTTTAACACTATTCACACCTTTTTGAGCCAAGGAAGGTCCATTCCCTGCTGCTTTCTAGTCTACTGAGCTTCCAAAAGCCATTCTAAGTTTTCATCAAGCCACATAATCACTTCATTCTGCCATTATTACCTCTCCAGTGAAGCCAGCTCCCCATCAGAATAAGGGTAGATCTCTTTGGATAGTGAGGGCCCAATCTCCTCTTCTGGCAGGTCAGTGAAGGAGAAATAAACTGACTCACTGTGAAAAGAGAAGAAACAGCAGAGATGAAGGTGGAATTGCCAACCCCATCCTGAGCTTTGCCACCCTGAGTCCTGAGCTTTGCAGACAAATTTGGCCAGGACTTTACCCTAATACTAGCAGTATGTGCAAGAGGAAAGAATCCAGACATAACATGCACACTGGCTTAGCTTCCCCAAGGTGTTACAGTAACAAACTGGTGATGCAGGGGAGCAGGATCACCACCATTTGGTATGGAAAGTTGCTTACCCGGCATCACACAGGCAAATCAGTGTGAGACTGGATTCTGATGGCCTCAGGCCACCACATCTCAGTGCCTTTAAGGAGTCCCAGAGAGACAGACAGACCCTAGGCCTCACTTACGAAGGAGTCAGCTGTTTGTGCTTTTCCTCAAGAGACCTTTCACTCTCCGTTCCTTCCTGCTCTTCCGGAGTGGAGTCTGCTGCCTCCTTCTGCTTCGGCTTCTTCTTGCGCCGCCTTTTCTTACGAAGGGTCATGTTGGAAGTTGATGTTTCTGTCTCTCCAGACAGACTGAGTTTAGAAACTCCAGGCTCCTGAGATGATCCGGCTGTATGATCTGGGCTTTCTTCCAGTGGGATGGGTGAAGTGCAGAGACAGGAGGGGATGTTTCCCTGGAAGGCAGACAGAGAGAGGTAATTGTTGTTAACCTTTGACCCCCTGGTCCTGCATCTTAAGACCCCTTCCTGAAATAATACACACATGGAACCTTTTCTAAAATAACCACAAAGTCCCTGTGCCCTTAAATGAATACCCAGTTCAACCCTGCTAAAGAAAGATTTTAAGGGGAGCACTCATAGGGTAGAAAATCAAGACTACACAGACACAGACACATAGCCCAAGGCAGCAGAGGTAGACTTAGATTGCAACAAAGGAGAATTAGGTGGATATTAGGAAGAATTTTCTAACCATGAGCATGTTTAAACTTAGAATTGTTTAGACAGAAATGATCCTATTTTGATCAGGGAGTCAGACAGGATGACCTCTCAAGGTACCTTCTAGTTCTATTTTTTTGTGATTTTAAAAAGACGCTTCTGAATAACTGTGGATTTAAAAGGTGGAATCAGGGCTGGTGCAGGGGAACTGAAAGGCTTAGGGGCAGTCCCATGCAGCCTTTTCACCTGTAGGTCAGTGGTTCTAATTCAGCCCAAGTTAGCAGCATGAGCTCAAGGTTTGACATTCATGAAAAATAAACTGCTGGTCCAGCTACCAGAAGCACGGGCACTGCTGTCTCAAGACCTTGCTTGTTGTCAGAAACACCAGGCTTTGAGACCATTTCTCAGGTCTGACCATCGACCAAGCCTAAAGAAAAGCCTTTAAGGGTAAGCAACTTATCAGTGTGCTGTTTGTCAGTCCCTCAAGATGCCCTAGTCCTGACCTCACCTACCCTACACAGATCTTTCCAATTTTGTACAATTCTAAAAGACCACAGACATCAAAAACACTACACAACTATGCAAAGAAGAAAAGAAAGTTAAAAAAACAAATACAAAGAATAACAGCAACTTCCCTTTTCTGCCCTCTTCCATGAGCATTAGACTTCTCTGCTGGCAGACATGTAGCCCCTTTGTGAGATCCAGGTGGTAAGATTACAGGACCTTGTGTCAGGGGTACATAAACCCACTGGCTCAGAGAGGTACATTCACCTCCTCCCAATCACCAGACACAGCTTACCTCATTCTCCTCTGATTGCTGGACAAAGAATGCCTCTCCATTGTCTCCCAGCTTCATGTGTAAGTCCACAGGTTCTCCATTGATTTCTATGTCAACCTAACAAGAGGGAGAAAGAATGGGCTGGGCATTGAAGCCATCTGCATGCCAGCAGTACAGGAAGGGCCCTTGCATGACATCAAGTCACACAGGCGCCAAGTATGTGGGGGCCTGAGGGCCCTGGCCCCCCTTGGGAAGTGGGTAGCGTGACCACCTGTCCCTAATTCAGCAGAACAGTTCCAAAGTGGGAACAAAGTCCCAGTTCTGGGCTGCATGACTCCCTCACTATCCAAAGAGATCTACTCTTATTCTGATGGGGAACTGGCTCCCTGCACAATACTGGGATCCAGGTTTTCTGTTCACCACGGAACAGAACCCTTCTCCACACCTTTCTGTCCACCCAGATTTCTCCTTGCAACTTCACAGCTCTGGCTCCAAGGTCATAGCCTGAGCAGGGCTTCTAGCTTTCTTTAACACTATTCACACCTTTCTGAGCCAAAGAAGGTCCATTCCCTGCTGCTTTCTAGTCTACTGAGCTTCCAAAAGCCATTCTAAGTTTTCATCAAGCCACATCATCACTTCATTCTGCCATTATTACCTCTCCAGCACACCACGTCCCAGATTCCCAGTATTGGAGAGAAAGCGATCCTGAGCCAAACCTTGGCTTGGATTGCACACTCCAGTTCTGCAGGGGTTTGGAGGAAGGTGAAACTCCACTACAGTCCAATCTGCCTTAAAGAATGGAAAATATAGCCCCAGGGAATGGTATGCTTTCTCCTTCACAAAGCCCACCCTTGGTACAGAGCTTATTCCACTGTCAACTATCACTGTGGCCTCCCTCACATTTAAACAACGGACATAGAGTGCTTGGGAGAGACTCTGCCAAGGATGCCTAGCTGGCTTCTGGCTTTGGAAGGAGCATAGTTCTTTGCCTCCAGGATGCAACACGGTTGTATTATTACCAGGGATCTGTTTTTTCTGTTCCATGGGGAAGCGGAAAAAATTTGAATTTTCCCTTTTAAACAGAAAAAAAAGCGATTTTCCATTTTAATGGAGATACCTGTGGATTTTCCACTTTTGCAAAGAGCTCTCTGCAGCCTGGCAGAGTTCCAGCCTGCAAAAGCTTCTTGCAAAAAGGGCAGGAAACCTTAAGCCCTGTCCTGAGGGGGAGGGAGAGGGGAAAGGGGCAGGGGCAGGGCCTGAGACCCTCAGTCTGCCAAGGTTTGGCTCAGGCTCGCTTTCTCTCCTGGAGACTTTGAGGTAAGTGGGGATTGCAGGGGGCTGTGGGCCAGCTAGGGGCCCCCTCTGGTGCGGCTAGGAGGCTGCAGGTTGGAGATGGGGGGCACTGGCAGGACTGGGGGG